CGTGGTAATTCTAAGCGTAGGAATCTAATGCGTGGAAATCTAACGCGTAGTTAACCAACGCGTAGTAATCCAACGCGTAGTAATACAGCGTGTGGATATCCAACGCGTAGTAATCTAGCGCGTGCATATTCAACGCGTAGTAATTCAACGCGTAATAATGCAACGCGTGGTAATTCTAAGCATAGGAATCTTATGCGTCGTAATCCACGCGTAGTAATCCAGCGAGTGGATATCTAGCGCGTAGTAATCCAGCGCGTGGATATTCAACGCGTATAAGTCCAACGCGTGGTAATTCTAAGCGTAGGAATCTAATGCGTGGAAATCTAACGCGTAGTTAACCAACGCGTAGTAATCCAACGCGTAGTAATACAGCGTGTGGATATCCAACGCGTAGTAATCTAGCGCGTGCATATTCAACGCGTAGTAATTCAACGCGTAATAATGCAACGCGTGGTAATTCTAAGCATAGGAATCTTATGCGTCGTAATCCACGCGTAGTAATCCAGCGAGTGGATATCTAGCGCGTAGTAATCCAGCGCGTGGATATTCAACGCGTATAAGTCCAACGCGTGGTAATTTTATGCGTAGGAATCTAATGCGCGGCAATCGGTAACCATTTACGATAATCAAGTTATTAACTGATTTCTTGCCCTCCCACACCTATGAATCTGTATCTTCATAATGTTGGAGAAATTATTTTTCTCTTAATTTAATCTCTCTTAATTTTCTTTATTTCGTTTTACCTTTATGGCAGAGATGCTTTATACGCGGAGGTTTTTACTGTACATTCATCTTGAGTAGTGAGTTATTTCAAAATTTAGCATTTTTCGAATATTTTATTATATTTGTACTTATTTTCATCGTCAGCTCCCTGTTCATTTCTTCTCTTTTATTTAAGAACATCTCCGTACTTTGAACTGTTTTTAAACGAAGTTACCGAAGAATAGACAAAAATAATTCTTTCAGGTTGTTATTACAGATAAATATTTTATACTTATTTCAGCTTGGTAAATAAATAACGGAGATATAATAAATATCGTAGAAATGATAAAAATACAATGCACTTCTCGTCCAATTGCTTCACTCTTGACAGTTCTCATAATTGGCTTCGTCAAAAAAGTGAAATAATTTTTAACAATTATATTATGTAACAATGCAAATTATTTCGTTACTAGTTGCAGTGTTCTGCAAAATATACGTTTCGTGAAAAGTATCGTTAATGATTGCGTAGTGGAAATGAGATACATTTAACATAATAAACAAAATGATGTAGAAATATTAAACGAAGACAGTGTATTGGAACATTTATTCAGAGCATGCGCGATAAATAACGCGAGAATAAAGCAAATAAATGAAGAGAAATTAATAACGTTAATGAACGTCAATCAAACAATTAAAAATTCGGCTATTTTGGTATGGAACAAAAGGGCGAGCTAACAGAATGGTGGTATATGAAATTTATGAAATAGAACGGTGGAAAAAGTGTGAAACAGTAAGTTCATAAAATGGTAGAATAGCAAAACAGTACAACAGAACAATAATAAAACAGGAGAATCTTAGAATAATAGTACATTGGAAATGGCTTTAATAAATAATTTAAAATGAAGTAAATTGACTGAATTTATAATGTTTCTTTTTATTTAACTCACTGCAAGAGGAATATCAAAAACTAATTAACAAGACCAAACAACTTATTTAAATAAAAAGTGAGCTGAATTAAATATGAGGAAATATATCTGTTTCTTGTTGAATACAGAATTGTTTATTCTATGAATGAATTTGCAAATCATTCATAAATTACTTGATTAGTTTTTGTTAACCATGTAATTCAACATAGTTGATTGATTGATTGATTGATTTTATAAGAGCTTCGACTGCTATGATCATTGGTCCTCCAACATAATATGGTAGAATAGTAGAGTAGTAGAATAGTAGAACAGAAGAATAGAAGAATTGTTAAACAGTACAATAAAACAACAGCAGAATAGTAGAATAGTAGTATAGTAGAATAGTACGATATTGAAATAGTGGAATAGTCGAAGAGTGATATAGTAGAGTTGTAGCACAGAACAATAGGGGAAGAATAGAAGAGTAGAATAGTAGACTAGTAGACTAGTAGGGGAAGAATAGAAGAGTAGAATAGTAGGCTAGTAGACTAGTAGACTAGTAGGTTAGTAGACTAGTAGACTAGTAGACTAGTAGACTAGTAGACTAATAGACTAGTAGACTCGTAGACTAGTACACTAGTACACTAGTAGACTAGTAGACTCGTACACTAGTACACTAGTAGACTCGTACACTAGTAGACTAGTAGAGTAATAGACTAGTAGACTAATAGACTAGTAGACCAGTGGATTAGTAGACCAGTGGACTAGTAGACCAGTAGACTAGTAGACCAGTGGACTAGTAGACCAGTGATCTAGTAGACCAATGATCTAGTACACCAGTGGAATAGTAGACCAGTGGACTATTGGACCAGTGGACTAGTAGACCAGTGCACTAGTGGACCAGTGGACTAGTAGACCAGTGGAATAGTAGACCAGTGCACTAGTGGACCAGTGGACTAGTGGACCAGTGGACTAGTGGACCAGTGGACTAGTGGACCAGTGGACTAGTGGACCAGTGGACTAGTGGACCAGTGGACTAGTGGACCAGTGCACTAGTGGACCAGTGGACTAGTGGACCAGTGGACTAGTGGACCAGTGGACTAGTGGACCAGTGTACTAGTAAATCAGTGCACTAGTAGACCAGTGGACTAGTGGACCAGTGGACTAGTGGACCAGTGGACTAGTGGACCAGTGGACTAGTGGACCAGTGGACTAGTGGACCAGTGGACTAGTGGACCAGTGGACTAGTGGACCAGTGGAATAGTGGACCAGTGGACTAGTAGACCAGTGGAATAGTGAAATAGTGAAATAGTGAAATAGTGGAATAGTGAAGTAGTGGAATAGTGGAATAGTAAAATAGTGAACAGTAGAATAGTAGAGCAGTACAGTAATAGAACAGTGAAACACTACAATAGTAGCCTAGCAAAAAAGAATAAAAGTAGAAATAACAGAATGGTAGAACGGTAAGAAGTGCAATAGTAGAAAGGTAGTACTAGGCCAATAAGCTAATGACAGAATGGCGAAACGGTAGAATAGCAGAACGGTAGAGCAGCAGAGCGTTAGAATCTCAAAGCCGTAGAATAGCACAACGTTAGAATGGCAGAATGGTAGAATGGCACATCACCAGACTAATAGGATAGTAGAATAATCCTTTAGAAGACTAGTACAGCAAACCAGTAGAAGATTACAAGAATATAACGTTACAATAGTATAATACTAAAACTAAATTAAATACTAAATTAATTAATTAAAACTAAATTGAACGATAACACAGTTAAATGATAAAATGGTAGAACAGTAAAGTGGTAAAATAAAATGAAGCAACGGAGTAATAATATGGTAGAATAGTACAGTAAGTGACGAAGTAACGATGTCGTAGAACGGTAGAACAATAAAGTAATTAAATAGCACAATGATAGGATGGTGAAAAGGTAAAATGGTCGAGCGGTAAAGTAATGGGATAATAAAAATCACTTAAATGCGACTGAAACTGACCAACAAAAGGGAAACTCGCCTGTTTTTCATCAAGATAATGCCACAGCTCATGTATCTTTAAACATCGGACTTAAAAATCGATGAAAAGTGCTTTCTTGAGTACGTACATGTTCATGGGTACACGTTTCCACGAGCACAAAAGGCACGTTTCGGTTAGTCGAAAATGTGGGGACACAAATGAAATCCCTCGATCGATCTAAAGGTCTACAAGTCCAGCGCTCGTTGTGAATACGCTCCATCCTTGACCTGGGCTGGATTCTCTGGTAAATCGTGTAATACAGAAAGGAACTTGACGTAAAACGGTTCCGACACTGGTTTCCTTAATGCTTTCGGCCATCATGCGATGAGTAAGTGCATTCTAATCGTTGTTTTCTTGTTTTAACACCTCCTCGCCTATTATCTTTTGTCTTGTCGGCATAATGCGTTCCATTCAACGGGAAATTTAAGGCAAATGTTAGAGAAACAAACGCGAAAACATCTGAGCGCCATGAAAAGTGCGAGTTTGCAAACTTGCGGCCTTTTAAATTTAAACTAGCAAAAGTAGTTTACGAATTCCCAAAATTTTAAACTTCAAATTATAAATTTCTAACTGTGTTTCTTAACGTTGAAAACTTCTTAAAGTTGTTAATTTTTAAAATATGGGGCATAGACTCTTCAGCAGTGTGTTCCATTATTGCTAAAACATGGGGTCTATTAAATTATAACTCTGCTTCTGACTCTATTTACATTAATTATTTTTGTGCTGCAAGTGCAGGAGATAAACGGCTTTCTCTTGAACTTCCCGGTAAAATTAAAAGTCGATCAGCGCCATCTAACGGACAGCGTTTTGCGGCTACTCCTGGTAGCAGGATCGCAGGAAAGCGAGGAGGTATTCGCTAGAATAAGAGGTTTCCCGCGCATCAGCGCGCATGCGCTACAGCCAGATTGGCGCCGCGACTCCAACATGGCGTCTTACGGAATAAATACTATCATCGTCGAAGAATTATTAATTACTCGTTTTCTTAGAGGAACTTATGCACTTTTATGATTGAAGGCGCTGATGGCGCTGATTCAATTGTCAATTGTCGATAATTTAAATTAGAGAAGGAATGAATGAGAGAGCTTTTTAATGCATACATAAATTTATTTACTGTTTTTAATTCATGTTGTATGTAATTAGTCACAGTAGTTTATACAGTTTCTAATTTCGTATTTATCAGAGTGTCGACAATAATATAAAATATAAAGTATATAATATGTATTAGGAAACGAAATAAATTCTTCAGAGAAATGAATTCTTCAGAAATAAATTCACAGAATATACAAGATACAAACATTCGAGTATTTCAGATTTATATTTTCTTCTAATTGTCACAATTATTCAATATACAAGAGTATATAAATTTTCCACCTGCAATTATAAAATTTATTCCACATTATTCATATTAAATTTTCGTTTCAATTTTTAATTTCCTTTTACGTGCTCCCTGAAACGGTAAGCATTAAAGTGATAACAGCAGTAATTGGCTAGCAAATCTTTTATTTTTATTTCACTGACTCGGAAAGCAGTATTTCGTTGCTCAAGTTTATGTGTACATTTGCAAAATGAGTGTAAGCAAGTGATAGTCGGAGCAGAACGAGGCCAGGATTCTATTCCATTACCTCTGGTTACTCTAGTCTTCCGCTTTTCTTAAATTCCACCCAATGAATTCGTATGAAAATCTTCAAGTATCCATTTTAAAAGAAAACTTCTTCATTTTTCATTTCATTTAATTTTCCATTATTTTTTCAACGTTGGATAGCTCTCTGGGATTTCTGAAATACAAAATACCACGACATTTTCGTTTTATCTTTGTAATATCTGCACAAATGGGAATATCACGATATCAGTGTAGATAAGGGCAAATATACATGGTGTACAATTTTTATTCATAAATGCGAATTAATTGTGAAACTGCTGTAAGAAATTGATTCAAAGCGTTGAATGCTTTTGGTACAAATATCATTAAGCGTAATTTCTTTCTTGATTGATGGAAGATATAGAAGTCACATAGCAGTTTTTCGTTTTTAATAAATTCTTCTGTTGCAGATGCATTTCATAATATAAATTTCGATCTATAGGGTGTCTCAAAATTAGTGTACGTCCCTGAAATGTAGCTGACGTGATTCTGAATAAGATTTCCCTTTCTGACGTGATTCTGAATAAGATTTCCCTTTGCAAAAATGTGGTATGAAGCTTCGTTTTTGAATTATTAAGGAAAAACACGGATCAATCAGACCGCGAGATTACGCATGCGCAGGTGCGAGAGCGGCAGTTTCGGATAACGCGTAGTTATCCAACGCTTGGTAATCCGACGCGTAGTAATGCAACGCGTGGTAATCCTCCGCGTAGTAATCCAACGCGTAGTAATACAGCGTGTCGATATCCAACGCGTAGTAATCCAGCACGTGCATATTCAACGCGTAGTAATTCCACGCGTAATAATGCAACGCATGGTAATTCTAAGCATAGGAATCTTATACGTCGTAATCTACGCGTAGTTATCTAGCGTGTGGATATCTAACGCATAGTAATTCAGCGTGTGGGTATTCAACGCGTATAAGTCCAACGCGTGGTAATTCTAAGCGTAGGAATCTAACGCGTGGTAATCCTCGCGCCCTGATTGTTCCGTGTTTTTCCTTAATAATTCAAAAACGAAGCTTCATACCACATTTTTGCAAAGGGAAATCTTATCGCGTGGATATTCAACGCGTATAAGTCCAACGCGTGGTAATTCTAAGCGTAGGAATTTAATGCGTGGCAATCTAACGCGTAGTTAACCAACGCGTAGTAATCCAACGCGTAATAATCCAACGCGTAGTAAGCCTAGCGTTCTGATTGGTCCGCGTTTTTCCTTAATAACTCAAAAACGAAGCTTCATACCACATTTCTGCAAAGGGAAATCTTGTTCAGAATCAAGTCAACTACCTCCCATTTCAGGGAACACTATTTGTGAGTCATCCTGTACAAATCTACAGCATCTACATTCAGCACCTGTCATTTGTATTGAAAGCACCTCACAGTTTCTACTAGATACAAAATATTTGAAATATCTTTTATCGCTCGTATACAAAAGCATACCCTACTGTAAGTAATACTAAATAATATTAAATTTGCCGATTTCGTTAAACGTATGTCACGATAAATAATACGCGATGAAATCACGTCAGTTTTCTAACAAACACGTTACGTCTAAGTGAAAAATTCTTGCAAAGTTTCTGTAGGTTGGTGCACGATTCCCTCCCAGTATCTTATCGTATTTTCCAGTGGCGCGTGCACCGGAAGAAATAGAATGTCTGTTTCCTTCTTCCTCGATCTTCTTCCGTAGTGTCTCTTTCCCGTAAATATCACAATAAGAATTTACATGCAAATTTTAAATGCTCGGTTCAGTACGGAATCACTCGTAGTTTCCTTTTTACCGTGCTTCGTATCTCTTTCTTCCTCCCTCCGTGTTCCATTGATTTTTTATCGATAAATACGCGCGTTGAACTCATTTCGAAATTTTGTATTTCTTGTTTGTAACGCTCAAAGAGAGAAATTCGCGTAATTGGAACTCGTGGACGGAATATTTTGCGTTTTATCACTTAAAAAAGAAATCCTACCGTATTCGAATCGGAATGTTTCTTTAATAAATTTCGATTCATGTTTCGCATCAATCACCTGCCCGTTTCAAAGTGTTTCAGATATTTTTCCAGCAATATTATTCCTTATGCACAAGGCTCCCGTGTAAATTTCAAGCTTTCACGAACCTCCAACAAAAATTCTGTCGCATAAAAGTTAAATTACATCTATGTCGATATAACTTTCGCAAATCAGAATGCATTTTTTTTATCCGTATTTATTTTCCCGTGTATGGATGTTGCTATTTGTTATTTAAATGAATCTGCAGGCTGTTCCGAACATTTTTTATTAGAGCCATGACAAATTCAGCGATCGTTCACGTGGCTGGAAAAAAGGGATAAATATTGTAAACAAATCGATCCTTGTACGTTATTAGATCAACGCAAAAATAATTACGTTTTACACGAGTTCCGCTCAAACTTTCCAAAAATTTATTCCTCCGCGAAAAATCCAACGCGTAGTAATACAGCGTGTGGATATCCAACGCGTAGTAATCTAGCG